GTCATCTGTGTAGGATCCATCTTGTTTAAGTAAGGGCCCAATACTGGACGTTGTTCTCGACTTTGATTTGGCATAGGAGAAGAAATACTTTGGGTTTCTTTCGATTTCATTTATGGCTTTTAGTTCTTCCCGCGATTCCTGACTCCTATAAGATTCCTTTAGCTTAAGTTCGATGTTTGCTATTTCTCTGACCAGTGTCTCCCTACGCATTTCAGACATATTGACCTCTTTTAGCCGCTCTGTTATTCTTTTCCGTCGCCTGTAAAGAGAGCGCCTGTCTCTTTCTATTTTACATCTACTCCTCCTTTTTCTTAGAGGAATAAGTCTTGTGCATACATCGAGTGCCACCAAGTTAATCTGTTCTAGGCATAAGTTGGGGTCTGTGTTGCTTAGTATATCTTCCCAGCTTATATCGGTTAGGACTTGGTTTACTTGGTCCCACTTTATGTTTTTGTTATTGAAGTTGAATTTGGTGAATGCTCCCTCGTGACTAATCTCATTTTGTCGGTCTGGGGCTCTGCGCATACATGTCTGAACCTCAATTATGTTGTGATCTGAGTATATTGTTTTTGACATGGTGACATTTCTTATCAGATCATCATTGTTAGTGAAGATGAGGTCTAGTGTATTCTCCATAATCTAATACAAGTAATCTTGGCAAATTTCATATTGATAAATTTCTGTGGCCTGATATTTCTCATCAAAAATTCCACCAGAATGTTGCTTCAGTTATTAATTACTTGAAGTCTTGGAAGGATTTTTAATAAATTGTATTAATGCTTAGAATTCTTCAGTTTCAGGGATACAAAAATGAAAAAAATGCAACTTGGCATTCCCCAAGGCAGAGTATTAAGCCCTACAATGTTTAATGTATTAATCAATGTCCTACTTATATCAATACCAGATAGTCCTTGTGGAAATACGGTAATTTATAGGTAAATAGATGCCCTATATTGTATTTAATAAAAGTGTATTTTTAAAAAGAGGACAGTCGCCATTTTTTTTTTTTGGTTTGAATGAGCCAAGTAAACGTTAGTTTAAGGGGAAGAATTTTTCGTGCTCTAGAGGTTAAAATTGGGCTGACACCTCTCAAATAGGAGGCGAAATTGTTGGATGTGCATTCCTGCATAACTTGAGATATCAGGCGACTGGACAAGATAGCTCCAGGAACCTCAAATAAGTCTGTTGTTATAACTCTGGCCAGTTGTTATTTTCATGTATAGACAGTGAGGTTTTCTGAGTATGATACAACTTAATCTCCAGTCAAATTGGTAAGTGTTATGATTAAGATATATTCTCCTTCTGTTATATAAATGTGTGTATATACTATAATCCTTTTTTAATTTTAATATACAGTCCACAAATTTATATATTTACCAGCATTCCTGGTGATGTATATTTCATTTAATTAATAGGTCCAGAGCAACTTGTGGATATGACAGTGGTAGGTATCGAAGGGGGACATTTTTTGCGACCTAGGTGTCCCAAATTCCTACTTGTCTAACTGATAAATAATAATTATCTATGTTCATTTACTATTATGTATATAATGATACATTCAGCTAAATGCAATTTTTCAGTCCTAGCAATATCACAATTAGCTTTGCTGATATATTTCCTTGTTCATACTAAAACGCATCGTGAAATGCAAGCCGCTTTAAATCATATACAACCAGCCGGTGATAATCTTACTCATAATTTCTACAGAAAAGACCAGTGTTTAACAGATATATTAGTAACCGTAAAAGTATACCATCAAAATTAAAGGTCAGTGGTGGCCTATTGATTAGGTGTCCTCTGTAAATATCTAGGTATCACCGTTCCATGTACACTAATAACTGTAAATAAACTTAACAAACAATGTAAGGGCAGAGCTGTTGTTGGGTATAATCCCAAATATGGTGCAAATCTTAGAATGGCAAAATATTCTGGTAATCCAGGCCACTGATAAAGATGCATCGTGACCCCTGTAATCCTGTTTTTCTTGTTTTTTTTCGCTATGCTCACAGGCTAAGATGTTGGTACACAATAAACTGGCCTTCTACTTTGAGATCCGTCAGGAATCGTCCTGACACGGGTGTCAATCTTGCGACAACCCGTCAAGGGTTCACGAGGGAGCGTCGTAGTGATAGATGGTTCAGCAGGTTAGCTGCGATGGTGACGTAGTGGACACAGGATGCAGCAGAGGCTGCGACCTGCGTGGTCCTCAGTTGGACTTGGCATGTCATGATGGATGTCTTCAGTACAGTCCCAGCAGGATGTTCGTGGTCACAGCTGCACTGACGTGGGAACTTCATCTCAACTTGGCAACTGCTCTACCAGAGCCGTTGGGTCTGGTACGAATGAGCACACAGCCACCTTGATAAATTCCAGCTGCAGTGACTTTCCTGGTGGTGTTGGTGTCTTAAGACGCCATTATCTTCGTTGGGGCCGTCCCAGCCACAATCCCGGCCCTCGCAGGGACAAGCTGGGCACATCTTCAGTGGAACAGCAGTTAGCAACTGTCGATGTCTTCGATGCTGAGCAGTTGTTAGCAACTGTCGATGTCCTCGATGCTGAGCAGCAGTTAGCTGCTGTCATGTCCTCGATGCTGTGGTATCAAAGTTCGGCGATATACTATGCCTAGTGAGGTCTGACTGGTAAGTTTATTCAGGTTACACAATTACATAGAATTATCATACATAGCAGCATATGTGTAAAGTACCTGGGATAACCCAAAAAGTCAGACAGTGACTTATTTTCATTGGGGTCCTTTTACTTTATTATTATAAAATAAAGGTAATATCTTATTATTATTCTATAATTGAGATAACATCTTATTATCATACTATTAAGACTATCTACTACACGAGGGTCATTAAGACTATCTACAATACGAGGGTCATTACTAGGAATAAGGTGAAATTACACGTGTGTTTGCTAAAAAAAAAATAAAAAAATAATTCCCCTCCCTTTCTGTAGCTACATTTATCAGACACCTTTTGGCACTTCTTGAACTGGTTCATGCTATGACTGGCTTTGACATGTGCGGGTAGTCTGTTCCATTCCTAACTCACGAAATCGTAATGACACGATTGCAAACCAACCATACCACGGGTGGGGTTTGAACCCGCGGTTTGTTCCATTCCTTTATTGCTGTACAATAAAACCTGCTGTAATCCTATTTTTTTTTTTTGCGCTATGCTCACAGGATAAGTTCATTTAGGCACAGGTACACATAAGTACAATTATCATACATAGTAATATTTGTAAATTACCTAGGATAACCCCCAAAAAAGTCAGTGACATATTTCCATTGGGGTACTCGGTAAACTAGTATCTCAGGCGACATAACTAAACTCAATAACGGAAGGATGGTAGGAGGCGTACGTAATCTACACATATTAAACTATGTATGACAGTTGCACTTCCGTGTACCTGTACCTAAATAAACCTACTTAGGAAATGGAATAGCAGTCCAGAGGAACCTGGTCAGAGATGTCGCAGGCAGTGATAATGGTAACTATAAACTTCATACCTACAAAATAGGGTTTACAAATTATTCGGAAAAAGTGATATTATGGACATAATTTATAGAAAGTCTCTGGTTAGGCAGAGTATTTGGCAAGAAGTGGGAGGTATCACTGAAGCTCGGAGCATTGACTCCCCTCAGGGGAGGTTCCTTGACGCTGGTGAGGGGCTCTTGATCTAGGGAATTGGATCTGTGATCCGGTTCCCTGAATTAAGCCTGAATACCTTCCACCCCCCCCCCCATGCGCTGTATAATCCTACGGGTTTAGTGCTCCCCCGTGATTATAATCAATAATCGGAGCATTGAGGAAAGTGAGTGACAATCACGATGGACAAGAGGACCGTAGTTACTAAGCAACTTTATTTAGATATAAGGGTACACCTAACTATAGTTACAAAATGTGTAAATTACCTAGGATAACCCAAAAAAGTCAAATTGACTTATTTCCACTGGGTTCCTGAGCACCATCGGCGAGTTAGGTGAATTTATTTCGTGAAAATAGACACGTAACCCAGGAAACTTAATATATCGCAACCTTATTCTGCCAAAGATAGATAAATGAATGGTGGGTTTTTGTTCATATTTTTATTTATCTTACATTCTACTCTGTAATCTTTTGACTACCGCCCACAGGATGGGTATGGGGTGCATAATAAACATATTAAACTAACTTACATTCTAGGCATCTCTGTTCACATTATCTTTACACTGAATGTTTCTTTGTTTACATTGAATGCTTTGTTTACATTGAATGGACCTTTGTTTGCATTGCGACTGTTTAAATTGAATGTTTTGTTTACATAGAATGCTATTTGTTTACATTGAATGTTATGTTGACATGTAATGTTCCTGTTTACATTGAATGCTCCTTTGTTTACATTGCATGCATCTTTGTTTACATTATTATTGTTGACATTAAATGCGCCTATGTTTACGTTCGATGCTCCTCTATTTGCCGCATTATGATTGGCCAGATAGGTTCTACCACTCAATACTCGCCGTTGATTGGCCCTGACCCGCATCTCTTTGACAAAATAAACGCATCATTTTTGCCAACATCTCATAAAACAAAAAGACATGGACGGAAAATAATAAACGTTGGCAGGGTGTGTGTAACACGCTCGTATTTTACACAATAATATAATAAGTGAGTTCTGACCACAACCTGAACTCATTATATAGTTCCTGCTCTGTCTGTTACAAGAAAAAAACTTTTAATGAAATTCCTCTATATGTTTTTATTTATCCTCAAACATTTTTTATGCATGTTTAAAATTTTATTAAGGAATATATGCTATGGCACTGACATGTTTTATATATATTTTATAAATACTTATACTAACACCACCTCTAAAGATATTAGTTGCTCTGTTATGTACAAGCATTTTTCATTTCTGCATATACATGAAAGAGAAGATTATTTTAAATAATAATAGTCACTGCAAAAGCAACAAAATTAGCCATAAATATGAAGGTAAATATATGATCAACAGTGTAGAGTAATGGTCCCTGAGGGTTGTTATCAGCTGGTGGTGCAACATTCTTCAACACAACCTGCAACACAGCCTCTGACACATCCAAGACTCACTCCACCACTCCCTCAACACAGGCTCCAACTCAGCACTCCCTCTCCAACCCAGGATTCATTCTCCAACACTGGACTCTGACTCCTGCACACGTTCAATACCACAGAACTACACCTCCATAGCTCTTCAGCAGTTTTATTCAGAACTCTCCAACACAACAAGACTCCAGCACCAGCACAGGACTCTCCAACACAGCAAGACTCATACGCCAGTACAGGACTCTCCAACACAGCTTCAAGTCCCCTACATCAACACAGGACTCTCCAACACAGCTTCAAGTTCCCTACACCAACACAGGACTCTCCAACACAGCTTCAAGTCCCCTACATCAACACAGGACTCTCCAACACAGCTTCAAGTTCCCTACACCAATACAGGACTCTCCAACACAGCTTCAAGTCCCCTACATCAACACAGGACTCTCCTACACAGCTTTAAGTCCCCTACATCAACACAGGACTCTCCTACACAGCTTTAAGTCCCCTACATCAACACAGGACTCTCCTACACAGCTTCAAGTCCCCTACATCAACACAGGACTCTCCAACACAGCTTCAAGTCCCCTACATCAACACAGGACTCTCCTACACAGCTTTAAGTCCCCTACATCAACACAGGACTCTCCTACACAGCTTTAAGTCCCCTACATCAACACAGGACTCTCCAACACAGCTTCAAGTCCCCTACATCAACACAGGACTCCCCTACACAGCTTTAAGTCCCCTACATCAACACAGGACTCTCCAATATAGCCTTAAAACTACACCATTACATTTCTCTCCAACACAGTCTGAAGTCTCCTACATCATCACTGGTCTCTTTAACAAACCTTGCACAATTCCCCCTCTTCATAGATGATGAGATCTGTCGTGGTATACAAAAGGAAATCCAGCGTAGATATCATATCGGAAGATGATTATTATACACAGGAAATGAAGCGCAAGGAGGAGCAAGTGTTCAGCTTTTTTGACCTGCCAGTAAGCTTATATTGATTTTATAAGTTACACATATTTTGACATTTGAACTTACTGTTCAGTTTTATCTTAGGATGTTTATTTTGTCAGGTCCTTATTGGGATATAATACATCTTGGAATTAAAAAGATACTGAAATTAATAACTTGCACAAATATAACATAAACAAAAAGTTTGTATGACTATAAATGTAACTAAGTTCATCATAGCATATTTATTTTGACATGCCATAATGCAGTACAATTTGCCAATATACATGTATGTGTAAATAAGACATGTGCAATGTTAGGAGAGTATGTTTTGCTCACCAGGGACTGTATCAGTTTTTTGTTTGATTGAAGTAATTGGTGGGCGAAACATATATTCATAAAGTTTCCAAATGCTGCACGTGTGTCTTATTCACACACATCAATATTACGTAAATTTTCTATTACCATAGTAACTTATTATAGAGTACATCAATTTTAGTTTTTGCTGTAATTTTCTTATGCATTGGCTCATAGCTCAGTGCTTGGCTTGCAACTAACAGCAAGATACATATATCTTAATTTCTTGCCATGCGTGATGACTGCTAGAGTATTAATACGTTGAAAAGTGAATGTAGGTGTTCTCTCTAGTGTTCTCTAGTCATCAATTGGTCAGGAGAATATAAGAATGGATGTACACTACAGCAGGCCTGCTAGCCCATTCTTGGCAGGTCTTTCTCAGGTCTAACCCCTTATTCAAATATTTGTCCAACCTATTCTCAAAGCTACCCAGGGATTTAACTTCAGTAACCCAACAACTAACTCATGCTATGGAGGTCCCACTCCACTCTAATCTTTCTTCAAAATTTTTCTAATGGGAAGAGCTATTCTATATGTAAATTTAGTTTTGGTTAATGGAAGGTATTGTATTTGATGCCTGGGCCACATACAATAAATACTACTGTAAAATTACTTTTATTTTCCCTGGTACAATATTTATTTTTGTTACACTAATGCATGGAAGACCTCATGTTGAATTTTTTTACAATGCGTGTGGACTACTGTTGATATTATGGTGCTGTACTCCATTCTAACAAAAATATGGAAAACAAATTATCTAGATTGAAGATGTTTTACAATAAACATGGATGCACAGGAAGTTATGGATTAGGAAGAGTAGTGTACTAGGTATTTACTACAAAATTAAAGATGCTAGAATTAGCAGATAGAGTAAAACAATTAACTTTATGTATACAAAATTTCCAATAGCTTGTGTCTAGATTGCTTTACCTCAAATTTTTAAAAGAGTTAGGCATCAAAATTAACTTGATGCCAGGAGAAGTGAACACAACTCCAAGACCCACTGCAAGCAGCATCAAAATCCCTCATTTTATACAGCTGTGAAGAACTGGAATGACTTGCCTTGATAATAGTGGCATAGCCAGTAGTGGCATGCACTAGTTGAAGGTTAAAAAGTAAGCCAGATATTTATTTCCACATGGTACAATATTTGTACAGAGATGGGTAAAAATTGGTTGTACATGCAGATAGCTGAAGGTTATGCAGAGCATTTTCGGAAAAAGATAACGAACACTGTAGTTGCAGAAAGGAGGGAAGGTAACTTTCTTTTAATACTATTATCCTGCACTTCCAGTGGGCAACATGCACTGGGGAATTTCCTATTTGTTAAACTTTTATCCTAAGCTTTATTTGTACATTAGTATGTACAGTGAATGAATTATTATTATTATTATAACCTGTGCTTCCATATGTATTATTAGCTTATAATAATGTTACTAAGGTTCTACTGGAACACATTTCTCTTTTTAATATAGTAAATTTATATATTCATGATGCTGACAGTCTCCAATATGCTTGGAAGTGGTATCTCGGCTGAGTCTGCGTGACACGAGAGCCATTGCTCTAACATGCCGTGCAGGCTGGTACATAACAAGAGATCAACTTATGTGGAGGCACAAGCTCTGGCTTAGAGCCAAGGTAAGGTGTTAACATTTATTAAAAATACTTGGTGAAAGTTTTTCTTTTTTGGGCCACCCTACCTCGGTGGGAGACAGCCAATGTGTTAATAAAATAAATAATAAATAAACTTGCAGTAGTAATTTTCGTGAAAATGGGTAAAACTCTTAACCTAAACATGCATCAAGTCACTGCTTTGGTGCTAGTATGAAAGTTCTGAATGTGGGTATTCTCTTCACAAATAAACTACACCTTGGAGAGGAAGTTAGACAACCTCTCAATTCATCCTGATCCATTATCAAGTTTCTCTCCAAAGTGTGGGGTGTATGTGAATTGTTCCAACTAAGATACTGTGACCTTTCTTTTTCTTTTTTTTTTTACATATTCTCTGTTTTTTAATAGTCCGTTGATGAGGTGTAATACCTTATTCATAGTTTGCATTAAGTATGCACCTACCTGTAAGAACTTTTAAGAAGTCAAAGACAAGCCCAAAACTCATTTAATGGCATGATCATTTTTACTGGTTTAATTGAAAAAATAAATATCAAAAAGGGATTCTTGGGAGTCCCTAGAGGCCTAAGCTTAACATATACATTTAGATAATTGCCTGTCAATATGGGTGAAATCCAACTTTTAGTTATTAACAACTTATCTGAAGTTAATCACAGCAAATATAAACATAAAGGATACAAACATTTGTTGGTCTGTTATAATTTACATATAGCATTTATGGTGTCCTTTAGCTCAATTGCTAGCACACTCAGCCCACATACTGAGGTCTGGGGATCGATCCCTGATATGGCTGGAAAACATTAGGACGTGTTTCCATGAGACACCTGCTGTCCCTGTTCACCAATCAGTAAAGTGGGTGCCTGGGTATTAGTCGACTGGTGTGGATTGCATCCTGGGACAAAATTGACCTAATTTGCCCAAAATGCATTGCACAACAAGGGGCTTTCTGTATAGTAGTATGTCACTGATGTCAGCTAGGCCTGTATACCTTGTACATGTAGAAATATAGATAATATTATTATTATTAACAGTAGTCTCATCGTATCCACGGGGGATACATTCCAAGACTTACCGTAGATAGTAGCAAACCCTGTAAATGTTTTTCATTTACATACATTCCATTGATAAAGTTATGTTGATATATTATGCACAATAAGTCAAAAATTGGCATGTTTTCACAGATGGGAAGTGCTTCATGACTTCTCTTAGGCTTTGAAGAACTGCCAGCATTACTACCTTTGCACTTTGGGACCAAATTAAGCAAAATTAAGGGTTATTTTTGGGCCATGGTAAACTGTGGATAACTGAATCCGTGGATACAGGGGTTCTACTGTATTTCTCTATATCCAATACAGTACTTTGTTTCAACACACATACGGAGCATGCTATCGAAGGATTTCCATTAGCTGTACAATTCTGAATTCGCATTTCAGTCGCATTTACATAAAATCACACCATACAGTGTTGCTTTGTAAGAGGGTTAACTGTGCATTACTGTATATATCATTTACTATATTTTAACAGGTGCATCAAATTTTCCTTCTCCTTGGATTGAACCTCATTACCTCCCATTCTCCCAGACGCTGTACATCTATAAATTTAGGTTTCCCATGAACATATTAGTGATAATCAAATTTGTAACAGCAGTTATGTCATATGGATGGGGTTTCTCTGTTTAGAAGCTTCATACAGTAACATTCTACTTTCAGGAAATTAATGTTTTATAATATATTCTATACTACTGAAGATCTATCCTCCTAGGTAATCAACTTAGGCCTGTTTGGACCCAACTTTGAGCCGAATCCTTTTGCTGGCATGCTTGTAAGAGATCCACTTCTTGTCAACAACAAGCTTCTGTGAGTTAGAAAATTATGTATTTTTACAGTGTAAATCTTGAAAGTATTATGTTGCAAATTTAATAATAAAAAATTTAATAACATTGTGTTTCAGAAAATGTGTGTAAGATGTCTAAATTTTGTGAAAATGTCTAAATATTTCTTTGGTATGTAGAGAAAAATCAAAACTGAACACATTTAACATTTTAGTCTAAACTGAAGTTGTACTCAGAATGTCTTTAGATGTTTTTTTTTTAGAATCAGTTGAGTTGAAATGTACAGCATTCTTTATTTTGGTAATTTCAGTATTTTATTCATTTTATTTTCAAAGCCTCAGGTTATTCCCTGGTGTAGACGAAGCATGAAGCACTTAAGAGTTGGCTCAGTAGTTTTGAACACTGAGTAGTGTATTGGATAGTAGAAGGGATAATATATACAATGGTAATATTATAGGCATTAGTTGTTCATGAATCTGTGAGTTGTGAGATGAGTGTGCTGTGACTGTATAGTCCTGTAAAATGAATGCAGATTATTAGGTTCTGTCTCACCTTCAGCTATTGTTTCTGTTGTGTTTTAATCATAAAGAAAATCCACTCCAAAAGCAAATCCTATAAATTCTGCAACTACTGATACAGTGAATGAGCTTAACCCTTCAACTGCTGAAGGGTCTAAAATGGCAGTGCTCTCAGTACTGGCAAGTTTTAAAAAAATAAAAAATAAAATTTTATTTTACCAAAAATAAAACTCCATAATTTTAAAAGTGTAATAAGACAATAATAAGTCAAATGTGATTATTACTTAGAGATATGAAGGTTTGAATGGTGACAAATTTACGTCAAAGGCATTTTCCCTGTTGGAGTAAAATTATGTCACTGGCAGCTTAAGGAGTTGGTTTATATTTATTTGGTACAAATTTGTCCAGAAATGTGTATTTTTCAAGTATTTTTTGAATTGCTAATAAAAAAAAAATTTTTGTAGGTATGGTGTCAACATATTGTGTTTGCAGTGGATAATTGAGCATATCCTATATTAAGATTTTCACCTGTGCCATAAACTTCACAGATTATTCATTGTCCCTAAATTTCTTGACAGTAATGCTAAGAATTTCTGATATACTACTTTATTGTATTTTTTTATTTTTTAGGTATGAAATATTAAATCCAGATTCATGCACTGGTGAAAACCATGAGGACCTTGACTTTGGCAATCTTCTGTCCAAAATGGTTGCACCCACTGGCTCTATGAGTTTAACTGAGTTATTTGAAAACCTTTTTAGTTTATTCAGTAGTGGGCCTCCACAAAATTCGCCATCTGATGTAAGTGCACTACAGTAAAGGCACTGTTCAGAATTTTTATGACATTGCATGCAATAATCCTTACATATTTGTGAGGGATGCATTTCTAGAAATTTTAACTGATGCAAAAACTGCAAATATTAAAGAAAAATTTAATTTTATTGTACCAGGTTCTCTGGTTTTGCCTATACAGTTTATTTTTCATAATATAAGTGAAATATACCTGTCCACTTTTTAACATTAGTGTAGCTCCTGTAATACTGTATACATTTTTATATGCATTTTACATATACAGTAAAATGATGGTATGTTTCTCAAACTGTTTTTAAATGAAGATATTTTTCTTGTTTACTTTCAGCCTTTTTCTAAGGGTGAGGGTGCTCCAACCTTCTTACTCTTTGGAATGCCTGAAACTAAAGTGTCCAAGAGATTAGCACTTAGTTTCATTGCTTCTAAAGATTCCACCTTTGAAACTGTAGGGTTGGTCAAAGGCAAACCAGGTGGAGTGGGTAAGTGAAACTTTTATGTTTGAATATCCATACTACAGGAGGTCCTGAACTTACCAACCATGAACAGTATAGTGCTTGGTTTTAATGCAGTAATAGTTACTGGGTATTAAAGTATCTTTGACCTATGGTGTCCAGGTGATGTACAGCTTTAATGATCCTCATGCAGTTGATAGGCTTTAAACCTTATAAACCAACAAACTAGGTGCATTCCATCTTTTTTCAAGTTTAAACCAGGTGCTTTGCTGGTTTTTCAATTTACACACGAGTTGTTTGTATAGTAGTATGAAAGATATATTCATACATCTTCATTCTGTGGTACAACAGTTATAAATCATCAGTTGCCCTTACTTGTAAGTGAGGATGTTTGTAACATTGAGCATTTGTAAGATGTTGACTTCCTGTATTTGCGTAAATTGTTCCAGTGATAACATGAAGAGTAAATACGTTTCTGGAAAATTAAAATGGCATAGGACTAAAATTCTTTACTACTGTAATTTTCTTCTCTCTCAGGTTGGGAAAATATTACCTTGAGACAGATGCTTTTGAGCTAGCTCCTATTTTTTAATTTTGTTTAGAAGGATATTTCAGTTTTGGGGAATTCTGTATAGTTGCCCAATTCTGATACAGTACCATAATGAAAAATGCTCTATAAATTACTTACATAAGGGTAATGAACCTGTTTTAGTTTGTAAGTTAGGAAGGCAGTTTAAAATAAAATGGAAATTTTGTTAATGCACACACAATTTCTTATTGAGATAACTTAAATGTGACTGTGTAGACTATGCTTGAGCAGAGAAGACTTGGTTAGTACTATCTCCTTAATGTCTGTACAGAATATGACTAATGAAATAGAACCAGGTGAAACATGCTCACTCACAGGATGCCTCATTAGTACAATATCTTACAACAATTTCTAGTAGGAATAGTTTTTTACCTTTGTAGTAACACAAAGTTAAATTTACTTGTCATTGAAGGTAGACGTATTGGATGCATTTCAGTCCTGGAAACTCGGTCACTCCAAAGGATACAAGGGAATGAGAAAAAACAGTATTAGTCCATGCTTTCTCCACTGTATATTCTGTGTTTTCTCACTTTCTTGTATCATTTGAAGTAACAAAGGTCCAGTAAATATGTCTTAAGTGTATGCACATATCTTTTCATCTTTAATTGCCTCTGATAACCAGCCATATCAGTCAGCTCTTGTGCCCTTCCTGCCAGGATTTCCCACAATTTCTGCAATCTGTATAATAGTCCTAACTTTCTTAATTAATGTCCCTATTTAAGAACACCCCTACCTTGGTGAAAAATGACCAGGGTGTTAAAAAATTATACTTGAATAGTCAGTCATTATCCAGTCACATGAATGATTACTGATTTAGGGTTTACCCAAGAGTCTTTGAAATATTCATTTCAACTTTGTGCAAAGTTCCCTTAACATAGGCTTCCTGTTTAAGATTAGAACATTATTATTAGCAGTTGCTTGATTTAGCAGATAAAATTAGACGAATTTAAAATTTGAAGAATAACAGCATTTACAATACATTATTTGCTTTCTTACAGGAGGTGGTGTTACTGTAAGATATGGGCATAACCTGATGAATCTGTTAACAGTTCGGCGTGCACGACCACGACTCCTGGTAGATGGTCCAAATGGAACAGCATTTCATCCAGATGTGGCAGAGGTATAGGTTTTTAAAATATAATTTTTTTTTTTTATCTCGACACCTCTCTCCTGCCAAGTCATCATAATCCAGTATTGTGTTTACATCATAATTCAGATTTCGTTCCATCTGTAGCATCCCCACCATACTTTCAGAATGCAGGAGCTGCCCTTTCCACATCCAGGACTCGAGTCCAGCTAACAAGTTTTCCTGAATCCCTTCATAAAAATTGCCTTGCTCACGTTCCAATACAGTGGACCCCCGGTTAACGATATTTTTTCATTCCAGAAGTATGTTCAGGTGCCAGTACTGACCGAATTTGTTCCCATGAGGATTATTGTGAAGTAGATTAGTCCATTTCAGACTCCCAAACATACACGTACAAATGCACTTACATAAATACACTTACATAATTGGTCGCATTGGGAGGTGATCGTTAAGCGGGGGTCCACTGTATTTCCATTAAAAATACATATCTTGTCTTCATTCACTCCTGTCAAACATGCTCACTAGCCTGCTGGATGCTCAAGTCCCTAAATCTCAAAGCCTCTTTTAAGTCTTGTAGCTATGTGCCAGCTCATCTACAGCTTTTAACCTCTTGGGCTGTTTTGTTTTGTTTGGGTGTTTAAATAATTTGACTACACTCTTAATTTACTGTATATGCTTTATCAATATATTTTCATGCAGTAATATAATGGAGCATATATTTTCAGGTGATACCACGTGTTGATGGTCTGATATGTTACATGGATGCCTCTTGTCATTGTGAAAATAGTGAAAACAGTTTACACAAGAGCAAAATGTTTAACGGCTGCTGCGCTCTCACTCACGCAATTGATGTATTAGAATTAGAAGCGATGATGCGGACAATTCCATCTGATCTCTCGCCACCAATCCTTGTTCTCTTGGCACACATGGATGACCCTCATCCTTCTTCCGATGACTCGGATCTGGATCACGACGATTATGCAAACTTGAAGACTCGAGTGCATCACAAATCTCAGACTCGTTTCAGTAATCAAGTGCGTCATCGCCCTACGATGTTATATAATGTTCTTGGCTCTCTGGATCTTCCGTGGGCTGTAAGTATTACTCTGATGAAATTGAATACATTTTTTTGTCATGTTAATAATATACAGTAAATCATTGATTATGGTCCTTGTTTGACAACTACTTTTAGCATTTTCTATTTCGATGCTCTGTATATGTTTTAAATGTATTTTCTATATAAACAACACAGTTGAATGTTATTGTAAGGGAGGAAGGGAAAGGGTGAAAAGGGAAGAAAGGAAAAAGAAGGGAAGGAAATGAGGTATGCACGGAAAGAGGAGGAAGGGAGGAGTAAGGATAGAGGGTGCAGAAGTCGGGAGATGAGAGGGAGGGAGGGAGGGAGGAGTAGAGAGAGGAAAGAAAGCAGGAGGGGGGGGGGAAAGCAGGGAGGTGCCTAGTTACAAGTAAACGGGTTCATAAATGTCTTGATTCGCTTAAAAAATGAAGCTCTTGGGTGGTGGTGGAGAGTGGGAGAAGGTTTGATTGAATTTTGCATATTTTTTCTCCATTATTTTTTTGAACAACAGCATATCATTTTGTATATGACAGTTTGGTGCATGTGTGGTATGCTCACATTTTATAGCAAAAAATAAGTGGAAAATGTAGATTTTTCCTCCTTATTTTATCTTCATTTTCATTTCAGATATGTGAAGTTGAAGTTAAGACCCTCGCAGGTGTACACTGTGGTCTTAATTGGCTTCTACATCGCACCCTTAAACTCAAGAGTGGTTGAATATTGTGTAGATATGGCTAGTTTACAAGTTGATAAATCTTGCAATAAGGGATATACATGTGGGTAAGGATAGTATTGTACTGCATGGTAATGAGAATTCTGTTTATATTGCTGGATCATTCATATTAAGTACTGTTGGGTTTACACAGTAATTGGATTGGTGGCCATGTGTCTTGTCCTTTACTAGGGAAACCTCAGAGTCCTGATTTTTTGTCCCCAACAGACTATACCATACCTTACTGTTTAAAGGATGATGTGAAGGAAGAATTGTATAGGAGCTAATCCACTATTATTGGATGTGTGACAGAGATGATTCAACAACACCATCCATTATTAAAACATTTTAAAACTTTGTGTTGTGATAAGTCATACTTATGCCCCCAAATAAATGTGGATAATGCAGGGGTAGCATCTGCATTTCACTCAGGAGGATAGGAAATCAGTTCTCTTACAATTCCTCTCCCATTCTATTATATTCACAATAGTATTTTTTATATATATAGGAGGCATTTGCCTGAAACCTAAAAGGAGGCTTCAGTCACCAGACAAAATTCAAACTGAAAATTTTGTGTTCTTGCAAGTACAGTACTTAAAATAATGTAAATGAACATGTCAGCATGTTTATATTTTCCCTAATAGATTTTTTTCACTATGTTTATTTGCCATTTGAAAATTCTGCAGTTAGCATATATCAAAAGAAATTATACATGATGATAGTAACTTTTACATTGCTAATAACACTTTAAACTTTTTTGTGGATGATTCTGGTGATCTAAAGACATAGTATGGCTTTCGAGCTGGTACAGTATTTTTAGCTTGGAACTTTATCAAGAACATAAATATTGTATAACCATGATTCTCTTGTAGGAATTAACAAAAATGAGCATTTTTGTGTAATTCAGAACACTAATTTTAATGCATCAGTGAAGTTGTACCATATAATGTTGTGTATTTGTGTATGTAAACTGGTTTGAAGAATGATGTGCGTGAGCCATGTCTGGCTAAGAATTTATATGTTTAAATGATATTCTAAAGTGAGTAAGTAAAAGGAAAATTTGTATTTTGATAAATGTAATGAAACCATATGAATTAAAAAAAAATGAAATTTGAAAACCTCTGCAAGAATGTTTGTTAGAGATAAGACAACTTTTGTGTCTTACACCTGCAGTAATCCTGTAGCCAAAACCTGCCACTTAAGATGGGGATTACTTTCTTGCCAACACAATGATACCGTCCAGACACAGTGACCACCCCAAGGTTATCATGCTCACTCAATTATGTTTGAAAATGGCTTAAACAACAAGGATGTTGAATGGTCACTTGTATAACTTTTGTCTTTAGGCTAAAACAGGATAATTTTTCTATATCTGAGAAAACTGACTCGTGAAATCATAATAACGCGATTGCAAACAAACCCTGGAACGGATGGGGTTTGAACTTGTGGTCTCTAACCCCACCTGTTCTGTGGTCTGAGAAAACTGCTCCATGAAATGCAGAAACTATAGCAGCTTCTGAGGACATTTTTGTGCTTTAAGTGCAAGGAAGGTGTCCAAATGGGAAATATGTACAGTACATGAAAACATTACCAAAATTATCTATTCATATTAAATCCTGTAGCACTGTAGTTATAATAGCTTGAATAAAAAGTACAAAAATGTAGTTTGGTACAGTTAATGTATTATATAAATTTTAAAGTCATTACATTTAGATATAAAATGACAATATCACATAAGTATTGTTTTATGCATAAAAGTAAGGACATATAAGTGCTAATATGCTATTTTATTATGAAGTTGTCATTTATAATTTTCAGATCAGTTGCTGCTGTGATTCATGATCAATGTAATTACTACAGAATTTCCATTTGACTCGATACCCTTGCACTTCACAATCTTCCACCTGTGGTGTCTCCAACCCTATTTAAATATGTTTTCTAGTCATTTTTCCCAAACAGTGTCTCTCATCCTCACCCATAGCAGTCCTCTTTGTATCTGCAGACCTTGTCACACTTTTTTTTTGTGACTGCTCCAAAGAGTAATTTTTAAGTAAATTTTTATATTTGCATAGTAAATTTTCGTGTATGCCTTTCTTTTTATTTTTATATTTGCAGCTATCCTACACAAAGTAGTTATTTTTTTCTATTTATTTTTATGATTTTTTAAGATTTTTGTTATCCTTTTAAAACAAAACTTTATCAACCCATAAAGAAGTTTGCTACTTTTTTTAATATGTAATAGGCATTTTTTTAAATTGGTTAGAGATCCTTATTACCTCTAATTCCACACCAAAATATCTATAGCTTGTGAAGATGTACCCACTATTCCAGTAATATATACATGGAAAAAAAAAACATATCATATAGCAGTAATTTATTTTGTTTCCCTTGACTTTTAATGAATTGTCTACTTTCTTGCCTCAGTGGTATGTTTGTCTTTCACTGCACAGTTGATATGCAATGCTCAATCATTCATAATTATGTGTGCTGTAACAGTCTGTAGAAAAAAAAGAAATTGTTCACATGTTTTCAGTACTTTAGAGACCCTTGGTGTATTTTCTGTAAATGGTGGAAAAAAATGTAAAAATTATCTACAGATACTTCAATAATCTTACCTAATGGTGTTTCAAGATATTTCAGCATTGATATATGATGTCTGCTTTTAAAGCAGCTTTCAATAATTTATTTGAAGCTAAGCTTTTCTCTTCTTATTTTTAGTAATCTATACGGGAGAAGGGAGAGACAGCCAGCATATTAAAAAACAACAACAAAAAAATTCTGTGATTGTGACAGCTTATACCTGGGGGTCTGAGAAATGTTGTAATCTAAGAAAAACATTGGTGGTTTATTTAAAATTATTGTTTTAATATTTTTATTTAGGGATGATTGTATCATACCAGCCCTTTATAAACAAAGCATATGTTACTTCATGATCATATACTTCCTGAAATGTAAAATATATAGTGGGCCAACACCTGGCTGTTACACTGGTTGTTAACTGGTTCATTTTTTGTGGCTGATACACTCATTCTCTTGGCTACTACACTCTGATCTTGGCCAAAAGGCTGAGAAACCTTTCATGTTGAATGATCCACATTGGTTTTTGCGCCACATGGGAGTATAATAACGATAATTCTGGCTTCTATTCTGATACATTCCCACAACTCGCTTATTAACTCCATCTCGTGTATTTGTGGACATACTGTACTTAGCAAGATGAGTATGGCATCTGCTCAGAAGTTTAAGAAACTGATGACAGTTGTATTACCCATGATAATTAGGAGAGATATTATCATTAGGAGAGATGCTATTATTATTGTGCTCAAATTGGTTTATATTGAGTTTATACAAGACCAGCATTTTTATTATGGTGTCCTTGTCAAATAATTGTTGGGCATGGCTATGACACAGTGCAGTATCTTGCTCTTAATATGAAACTGTATGCTTGCACAAGTTTGTTGCAAGATATTCTACATAATAATGATTACAAATTAAACTTTGTCTTTTTAATGTAAAATGTTGTGCTCATTTTACAATGTGTAGGTTTTGTATGTACCCTCACATCACTTGTATAATGTATATATTTTTTTACTCTTGCAGAGCAGTGAGTACAGCTTATTTATGGTGTATGGGGGTGGAGTGTGGTATTCTTGCAGAACAGTGAATACTACTGTTTAGTATATGGGGTTTGTTGGAGGGGGGTGTAGTGTAGTACAGTATTCACACAGGGCAGTGAGTGCTGTGCAATGTATGGTGTACTCACCTATGTGGTTGCAGGGGTCGAGTCAATGAGGTATGCTGGCAAAGCATTAAGTACAGTATATTGTTTGGTGTAAAGTGGGGGGTGTAATATAGTACTCTTAGGGTAGTGTATTGTGGTACTCTTGCTGTGCAGTGAGTATGGTATTGTATGGTAAAATGTAGTGTGTGGTACTCTTGCAGAGCAGTGAGTACAGTATATTGTACTGTGGAAAATGCAGTGTAGTTTGCCTTGTATTTTTTAATAAATATGTATTATATATTAAATTTGTTGATTTCTTCAAAGTGTACTCTATGATTTACTTGAAGGCCATTTTGTCTTCAGCTGTAAGTTGTTCTAATCCATCCTGACGTGAATAACCCAATACGCACAATATTATGCATAGTGCAAAAGAGCTATACACAATTTGAATCATAAATACATGCTTGGATTAGTATTGAACAATTATCTAAAATTGGGCATGGTATTCAGTCAAAACAAACTTGATGAATGCTAGGCATCAGTGGACGAATTTTTTATTTGTTACAGTATGTGTGTCTAGTATCAGCCATATTGTATTTTACTGCATTTTTGATGCATAACAAAATATACTTTTATGTTGTATACGATACTGAGCAGTTAGCATATCAGCTGAGAAAAAGGTGAATTGATCAAGTAATAAAGTGAAGCCCAGTTACCTCCCAGTACTCCAGGTGCTGTATGACTCCTACAGGTTTAATGCTTCCCACATGAATGTAGTAGTAGTAGTATAGATGTAGTTGATCAGAATGAATGTATTCAGTGTCCCTTCAAGAGGGTGCCCTGTTATGGTGAATGGCTCTTTTTTCCAAAGAATTGGGGCTACTCTCTTTTTCCTTGATATCTGTACTGTAATAATGTAAGTGATGGGATGAAATGCAGATAATAGGTTTAGTGCTTCTTGAACATATTAATAACAATAAAAGATAAGAGTCATACAGACAAGTGCCATCCCCAAAGTAACGGCGGTGCAGAAAAGTAATGATGGGAATAAAAGAAAGTGATCATCAGAACTGAAGAGGACAGAGACCAACAAGACGTACTCTGTAATACTGAATCCTGACCACATCACAGCCCTTCTCAAAAGTCACAAAGGGGAGAGGGAAAATAATGAGAAGCAAGAGTGGTGAGGGGTATTCAGACTTGCTCCTAGGAAGGGGAAGATTGCTGTATAACCCTTATGGGTTTAGCACTTTATAATAATTCCCTGATCAATATTATTATGTAGCTGCATGACCTATATGGGTTTGGTGCTTGTTTTCAAATATTACTTGTTGTATACTATTAAAAAATGAATGGTAAAACATCTTGATAAGAAAGTGCTTCATAGTGAAGACTCAGCCCTTGAAGAACAGACTTGCTACACATTAAGGAGGTTCCTTGATGCCAGTGAGGATCTCGATTCAAGGAATTTGACTTGTTCTCCCCTTCCTCAAAGGGTTAGTACTTAGTTATGATTATAATAATAATAATAATAATAATAATGTCCTTCCTTGAGGATGTTGTATGACCACTGTGGGTTTAATGCCTCTCCCATAAATACACTAATCACAAAATATAGCATTCTAATTTAGTGCTTTCTTGCAAATATAGTAGTAATCACTTCAATATTTGAGGTGTTAAATACGTAGTGATAACTGGTCCTCGTGGTGACTAGTTATCATAAGCCCCTCAAGGGAGGTTCCTTGACGCTGGTGAGGGGCTCTTGATCTGTGGAATTGGATCTGTACTCCAGTTCCCTGAATTGAGCCTGAATACTTTCCATCCCACCCCTACATGCGGTCTAATCCTACGGGTTTAGCACTCCCCCAAAGTTATAATATAATATCTCCTCAAGGGAGGTTCCTTGACGCTGGTGAGGGGCTCTTGATCTAAGGAATTAAATCTATGCTCCAGTTCCTCTTCAAGGGGTGCTCCTTGGCATGGTGAAGAGGCTCTTGGTCTGAGGAATTAGACCTGTTGGTCTCCTTCATCAGACCGAACCTAATTACTCCCCAATCCCCCCTCCCTTATCCCATCCTCCCTTTTTCTTTTCCTCCTCCTCCTCCTCCCCACCCCTCCCTATTACCCTTCCTCTTTTTTTTTTTTCCACAGGCACGCTAGTTCCTGGGTAGGGGAAAGGGTACTGGGGTCCATCCCATTCCGTTGAGGTTCTTGGCGGTGGTGTAGTTTGCCGTAGAATCTGGATCACCTGGGGATGTCCCAATCCCTCTCCGGTCTCCCGGGGAGTGGCTTTGGGTATCTTTCGGGCGACGGGTGTATCTCTGGAGGCTGCCTTTTGGATTCCGGGGGTGGTGGCCAAAGGAGGTATGCTTTGTGGCCGATATCCGGCCGCCCTGTCTTTTGTCCACCGAGGTAGCTCGGCAGATGTGAGGTTGCTATCCCGGATTGCTGGTTTACTGGCATGATGGGTAGAGTATGGCACGGGTTCCTTGCTGCATCTGCACTACTTGCGGTGCTGAGGTCCTCTTGGGCGTGGAGGGAGATTTCTGGCCCTCTCATTCCTCCCAGGAACTATCCCTCCCCAGTCCCCCCTTTTTTTTATTCTTTTTTTTATTTTTATTTTCTTCTTTCTTTTTTTTTCTTAAAAATAAAAAGAAAGAAGTAACCTAACCATGGAAGCCCTACTCCATGAACCTGCTACCCCCGGGCCCCTTCTTGATACCGCACCCAGTTCTGACCCCGCCTCATCTTTGGACCACTCTTCGGACACTCCTAATGCCTCTGTACCTCTTGCTGGTGCTGTTTCCTCACCCACTTCAGGTACTGAGGTCTCGACTGACTCCTTCGATTTATCTGACCTCCGCTCTCCTTTGACTATGCTTCCGGCCTCTCCCTCTATGGTGCGGCAATTTTCGAATCGCTGGCCCATTCCACGTCGGACCAACTCTGGTCCCACGCCTAAATGCCAACAACAATTACCTGCTGATGATACTTCTCCACCTTCTCATTCTTCTCAGAAAAGATCGACACGTCCTGCACTCCCTTTCCACGCTCGGTTTCAGAATGCACAATGGACTAAATTCTTCACTTTACGACCGACTTCCTCTATTGCCTATCTTTCCGACCATAGTATTGGCAAGGCACTCCTACGCCATGTTGGTAAAGATATTTCTTTTCATGCTCTTAAGAGCGGTACGCGCATCATCACTGTACAGAATGCTACCCAAGTTCATGATCTTTCTCTTCTTTCCCATATCGATACTGTTCCTGTCACTATTGAAAAACCTCATTCCCTCAATTCTTGTAGTGGTACCATCATTCTGCCCCATACCATAGTTCAACAAAATTTCTAGACATGTGGCAATGACATTCTTGAACAGCTGGAACTCCAAGATCTCTCAATCCTCAAGGTAGACACAAGCTGTATAGTCCTTGTGGCTTAGCGCTTCTTTTTTGATTATAATAATAATAATAATCAAGGTAGACACTTATGTTCTTCCTGACCGCGGGCGGAGACGATACCCTAGCAATGTGGCTCGTTTAACTTCTGACAGCCGTGAACTCCCATCCTCAGTTTATGTAGCAGGACATTGGTTACAAGTTCAAAAGGTGATGCCTACGCCGCAACAGTGTAGAAATTGCTGGCGATTTGGCCATCCAGTGAAATATTGCAGATCTATAGCCGAATGCCCAGTCTGTGGTGCCGATGACCATTCTAATACGTCTTGCAATCGACCTCCCTCTTGCCTTAATTGTCATGAGGCTCACCCTTTGTACTCTCGCCATTGCCAAGTCTACTTAAATGAGCGGGAAATCTGTTACCTCAAAGAGGCAGAAGGTCTCCCTTATGCCATGGTAGTTTCTCATCTCCACCTCCAAGGGAGACTACCTCGTGTTTCTTATTCCCGTGTTTCAAAACGTCCCCCCACTTCTGGGGTCCCATCTTCTGCAGCCTCCTCTGTGGTTACCTCTCCCATAGTCACTCCTGTATCTAATTCTTTTGCTATCCTGGGCTCAGACGTCCCTACTTCAATGCCTCAGTCTGTTCTCGCTTCTTTGTGTTCTCCCTCACAAGCCTCAGTATCGACGAGATCTCGTACGACACCGCCTCCCAATCGTCCCTCTTCTTCTCAGAAGTCAAAAAAAGCTCCTTTAACTCCTCCTTCCCTTCTTCCACCTCCTCATTTTACCTTCCCTGTCTCTGTACCTGGTTCTTCCCCTCTCACTGGCTCTGTTACAAGTGTAGAGGTTCACCCTCCTCCTCGTACTGTACCTTCCTTCCCTGTTCCCTCCCAAGTTTCTTCCTCTTCTGCCACCTCCCAGGTTTCTGCCTCTTCTGTCCCCTTCCACGCTTCTTCTCCAGTTCCCTACACCCTTTCGCCCCCCTTCCCTACCTTGGTACAGTCCATTACAGTTCCAATCTTTACTCATCCTCCCCCTACCATCTCCAATATTGTCTCCCATATGACGTCTTTGAATTCCAAAACACTTGAAGCAATCTCTGAATATATTGCAGAGACCAAACCATCAATGGACACTGATCCACCCTCTTTTCCTTCTCTCTCCTCTCCTCCATCTGCGCAACTCCTTTCTTCGCAGCGCACCGTTCCTTCGCTGCTTGAACATTTTCCGCTGCCACTGCATGTGGACTTTTCTAACCCCTCTAGTCCGTAGGAACCCTTACCTGTGGATTTCAGGTATCTTTATCATTGCCAATCATGGCCTATTTACAGTGGAATATATGCAGCCTCAGGGGTAATCGGTGTGAGCTTCAGATGTTACTCTCTCAGTTTTTCCCTGTTGGTGTTTGCTTACAGGAACCAAAATTACACTCTGCTGTTATCTCTCCCATCTCAGGCTATAATTTATTGTATTCTTCAGATCCTTTTCCTGATGGGACCTTTAATGAAAGTGCCCTTCTTCTACGCACTGATATACCGTACCATCAGTTATTTGTTCGTACTTTGCTGCATTACACAGTAGCCCGTATCCACTTGCATAGGTGGTATACGCTCTGTTCTTTATATCTCTCTCCTTCTCGGGCATTATCTATCCCGGATATTGCCTTTCTTGTTTCGTCATTACCGCCACCGCTTCTGTTACTTGGCGATTTTAATGCCCATCATTTTCTCTGGGGGGTCTCACTGTGATTCCCGTGGCATTCAGTTAGAGGCTTTTCTTGCTGCCCACCCCCTCCATGTTTTAAATACAGGTACTCACACTCATTTTGATCCTCGGACTCACACTCTCTCTTGCATCGATCTCTCAGTCTGCTCTTCCTCCGCCGCATTAGACTTCACCTGGTCTGTTCTCCTGGATTTACATGACAGCAATCATTTCCCAATCATTCTTACTTCTTCATATTCACCACCTCTTCGTATCCCATGCTGGCAATTTGATCAGGCAAATTGGAACCTTTACTCACAACTAACTGTTTTTAGTGAGGTTCCTTCTTCGTCATCCATTGATGAGCTTTTACACCTCTTCTTATCCTCCGTTTTAACCGCAGCTTCTCATTCTATACCCCAAACTTCGGGCAGGCATTCTCAGAAATGCGTGCCTTGGTGGTCTCCTGCTTGTGCTCGTGCAATACGTTTGAAACGCACTGCATGGGGCAGGTACCAGTACAATAGAACCATGGAGAGACTTCTTGATTTTAAGCAGAAGCGTGTGATCGCTCGCCGTGTCATCCGTGACGCTAAATGCACTTGCTGGCGAGATTATGTCTCCACCATCACCTCTGCTTCCTCTATGAATGCAGTCTGGAAAAAAGTACGAAAACTGAGTGGTAAATATTCTCCTGACCTGGCTCCTGTTCTGCGGGTTGCTGGTGTTGATATAGCAAACCCACTAGATGTTGCCAATGAAATTGGCAATCATCTGGTCCGTATTTCTCAGGGGCTCCATCTATGCCCCTCGTTTCTTTCCTCAAAGTCTGCCAGAGAGTTAGCACCCTTGGACTTTTCTTCTCTCAGAGAAGAACAGTATAATGT